GGAGGCGGCGGTGACGAGGCTGTGCAACTCGCGGAGCATCGTGACGGCGAACGGGCAGTTCCCGGGGCCGGCGGTGGAGGTGAACGAGGGCGACTCCCTCGTCGTCAGCGTCGTCAACAACGCCACCTACAACGTCACCATCCACTGGTACGTAGTACGTCTCATCATATACTATATGAAAAAGCACCCATGATATTGCATGCTAATGGAGCCAATGGGTGGCGTGCAGGCACGGCGTGCGGCAGATGCGGACGGGGTGGTCGGACGGGCCGGAGTTCGTGACGCAGTGCCCGATCCGGCCGGGGGGCAGCTACACGTACCGCTTCACGGTGGCCGGGCAGGAGGGCACGCTTTGGTGGCACGCGCACAGCTCCTGGCTCAGGGCCACCGTCTACGGCGCGCTCATCGTCCGCCCGCGCGACCCCGTCCCCTACCCCTTCGACTTCCACGGCGAGGTCGCCCCCATCATGCTCGGTACGCTACGCACCAACGCAGATTATATTCCTCTCCTTGTTCCATAGATTATTTTCCTCTCCTTGTTCCATTAATACGTTGTTGTTTTTCGGTTGCGTTGTTGCACTTAACAAATTTTCGCACCATATGAAACGAAGGGAGTAGCTTTCATTTCACTAGCGCACGTCGATCGAGTCCTCGGCACAATGATAGCATTGCCCTTTACACCAGGACCTAGTGCACAGCATAGCATGGTCGGTGGTCGATTCTGCGTTTGACGCGGTGTCGTACAGTTGGCGTGTGTCGTATTCTAGTTGATGAAGACTACTGTGGCATGAAGAACCGACTTAATGTGAACATTTTTTATGACGATTTCTTCATACACACATGGTAAATTCTGGCAAACAAAGTGTTTACTGCAAAAGTTATTGTGTTCACTTGAAGGAATTGACATATTCCCGATAACATAAGTTACTGTAAAGAACGTATGTTTTATCATGCTCCTTCAACTGGCGTTCGCTGAATAGCATGACCCTTCTTGAAATAGGCAGTGATGCTCGTACACAGGAACTAATTATACATAGTACTAGTATATAATTACAAGTAGTAGTAGTGGAATCTTGAAATGACAGAAAGGAATTTAGATGGATCCCGTGCAGTGCATTGTTCCAAAGTAGCGAAATTAGGAGGGGCTTTGCTTTTCCCGCGTGTTAGCGGCCGTCATCATTCCCATGCATGCATGCTTTCGGTTGGTTGGTTGTTGGCGCCACCTGCTTACCCCAGAGTCAAACGTCCAGGATTGCATGTGCAATTTAGCACCCGAAATTTATACTATCACGTCGGTCTAAGACGAACGAGAACCATGCATGCATGACCCATGACAAAGAAAGAAAAAAGGATAGCTACCACGGAGCAAGATCATTGTGCATGTATGCGTGTATGTGAGATCCTTCTTTACTCATGACATGCACATGCTAGCAGTGGCGGGCCCAGGATTTGAGAAGTGTGTATTCAAACTTTCAAATGTTAACACTTGTTCTTAAAGCTTGATAAGCCTTTTCTGCGCGTATAACGCATGTATAACTGCATGTATAACAATGTGTATCACTCAAGTTTATGAGTACTAGTTTTTATAAGTAATGCTAATTGTCAAAAATTCTTGCAAAATCACATTGCAGATAATATTAATGTATTATACTACTTAATAACTCTAAAAAAATTGTGTATAACAATTCATCCTCAATTTGCAATGTATTATGTTGTACGGAAATAGAGAGACTCAACTCCCAAACAATCTCAGATTTCAACATATATGCAGTGTAATTCTATATCAAAATGGAAAGCCAATTAGCCCAGATTAATTAATTCACGCTTGTAGCCTTTTTGAGCAAGAACTAGGGAACAGAAGGACCGAAGAACAAAACAAGATAATGCAGTGTAGAGGAGCCGAACCCAGGCAGGACGCTCTCTCGGACAGTCGGACCATCGGGCGCCGGATGCCCACGCCGTGTGACCGTGCCGCCGTCAGCCCCTGTCGCCTGCCACGCGATCAACTCTACCAGTTGGTGTGTGAGATTGGAATTGGGGATGCGACGAGTTGCGGCGCTGGTTCCCCTGATTGATCGGTTCTGCTTCCTACAAGCGATCGGGCTACCAGGCTGTACACATTGAGGAAGTAGAGATTATGGGCCATTGGGCCATGTGGGGTGGGAAGGGAGAAAATTAGAGGTGCGCTATCCTTGTTTTGGGCCGAATGTGTGGACAGACTCATACATTCTGTCAGTTTTCCTTTTTCCTACACATATACTACTATACAAAATATATACTTTGTTTTTTGGCCAAAAAATAATGGGTATTCAACTGAATACCCTTGAATTGAACTGGGCCCGCCCCTGCATGCTAGCTAGGAAACATGTGCATATATATCTCACTCTTGGTCTTGGAAACAAATGCACTACTTGCTTCAGCCTTAAGAAATTCAGATACTGGCACCTTTCTAGCTAGCTTTCAAAAATATTCAGACAAATCAAAGGAGTATGCATGCATCATCATGAAAATGTTCCATGTCTAGTTGGCTCAGGCTCTTATACATTATTTCCTCAAAAGGAATTCTAAAGAGAGAAAGCATGCATAAAGACCAGTTTCAACATGTTCTAATGTTCTCTCCAAACGGGTTTGAAAGAAAAATCTTTGGTGAAGTACCTTTAATAGGAGAGCCAAGTGCTGGCTATATCTTGTTGTCATGTCATTTATGATCAACATAATACTCCCTCCTTTCTGGTTTATAGGGTTTATTTCAACTTTTTTGTTTTTTCAATTTAAATGGCTCATCTTCATCTCATTTTTAGTTTTTGAAGTGCATTAAATTTTTGCATGCAAGAATTAAAAAGGAACACACTAATGCATGTAATGTTTCTACTCATCTAGTGGCCAAGCATGCATGCACTGCAATTAACTTAAATTAATGCATGAGTTGAATTTGAGTAGTTTTGTAGTAAAATATGAGATACATTCCTCCACTCACAAAATATCTTGGTTGATGAGATTTAAGATTTGAGCCCTATAAACCGAAAAGGAGGGAGTAGCATTCAAGAAGGGTTCCCTGAAAGCGCGAGTCCGTAATTGCATAGATTCACAATAAACAGAGTCTCTAATTGCATAATAATCAAAATGGATGTCATTTATTTCATGATTTGGCTGTTTAATTAGGTTGTTGCGTGTGTGGCCGACATGAAACAATAGGCTAACATGTCGTACATCATGCCTAAAAGAACATGTGGTACAGCATGCTAGCTAATTAACTTTTTTTCTTTTCCCTTTTAGCATTTTCAGCTGTTCAATATGTGGAGCAGTACGCCTTCCTCCTATATGAATGAGAGAGATATTTTCTCTATTATTTTCCACTACTATTGTTTAAGAGGAAAAAAGGAAGAGCTAGATAGATAGTACTCCTACAGTACCATTTTCTGTAACTAATAATCTGGCTGCATGTGCGCAGGTGAGTGGTGGGACATGAACCCCATCGACGTCATCCGCACCGCCACGCGCACCGGTGCAGCTCCCAACATCTCCGACGCCATCACCGTCAACGGCCAGCCCGGCGACCTCTACAGCTGCTCCTCCCAAGACACGCCCGTGTTCCCGGTCAAGTCCGGCGAGACCAACCTGCTGCGGTTCATCAACGCGGCGCTCAACACCGAGCTCTTCGTCTCCCTCGCCGGCCACACCATGACCGTCGTGGGCGCTGACGCCTCCTACCTTAAGCCGTACAACGCCACTGTCATCGTGCTCGGGCCCGGCCAGACCACGGACGTCCTCGTCACTTTCGACCAGCCACCAGGCCGGTACTACCTCGCCGCCCGCGCGTACGCCAGCGCACAGGGTGTGCCCTTCGACAACACCACCACCACCGCCATCTTCGACTACAGCGCAGGTGGCACGGCGAGCCCTGCGATGCCGACCCTCCCGGCGTACAATGACACGGCCACGGTGACCACGTTCACGACGAGCCTGCGCAACCTCCACTCGGTGGGCCTCCCCTCGGTGGTCGACGAGGACCTTTTCTTCACCGTCGGCGTCGGCCTCTTCAACTGCTCCAGCGGACAGAACTGCGGCGGCCCCAACAACACACGGTTCGCGGCGAGCATCAACAACGCCTCCTTCGTGCTCCCCTCCACCGTCTCCATCCTCCAGGCACACTATCAGGGCGATGCCGCCGCCACCGGCGTCTTTACCACCGACTTCCCCGCCAACCCGCCGGTGCAGTTCGACTACACAGCGCAGAATGTGAGCCGCGCGCTCTGGCAGCCCGTGCCAGGCACCAAGGTGTACAAGCTCAAGTACGGCTCCGTGGTGCAGATCGTGCTCCAGGGCACCAACATCTTCGCCGGGGAGAACCACCCTATCCACACCCATGGCTACGACTTCTTCATCCTCGCTGAGGGCTTCGGCAACTTCGATGCCGCTACCGACACCGCAAAGTTCAACCTGGACGACCCACCAATGAGGAACACGGTGGGCGTCCCGGTGAATGGGTGGGCTGTCATCCGGTTCGTCGCCGACAACCCCGGGGTGTGGCTGATGCACTGCCATCTGGATGTGCACATCACCTGGGGCCTCGCCATGGCCTTCCTGGTCGAGGATGGAGTAGGAGAGCTGCAGTCCCTGGGGGCACCCCCACCAGACCTGCCAATTTGCTGAAGAAATCAAAGTTGTTGTTTTTTTTTTTTTGCTCAATTCTACTGATTATTTGAGGCAATGTACCATTCTCACATTTGTTGCCGCGTTCTAGTTATTTACATTTGATTCATTAAAAAATATCTTCAGTGTAATTCAGATACTTTTCAGTCAGAAAAATGTTATTCAGATAACACTAGAGGGACACTTGCAGTTAGAATTTCCTGCATCATGAGATCCAGTGGTACACTGAAATCAATCTTAGTAGTGCTAAATAAAGTACAGCTATCATTTACCACCAGCCACACAACATTTCTAAAGGAGAAATGGTGTCGGTCAGCAAAAAGATCTACCTGGCTACTAGTACTTGGCTAGCTGTACAATAAGCATTTCTTTCTGATAAAAGCACAGATCATTAGGTGCCACATGCTCACAGGGCACGACTGCATTCAACATAACTCCAGGCTCCACAGACTTGCAGATGGGTCAAGCCACAAATTTCAGGCAGCGAGTGTCATTGTGTATGACTTGGCAGCGGCAAGAACAGAACCGTGTTCCACACCTGGGGCATGTGTAATTTGAAGAATTCCCACAAACAGAGCAGTAATGGCGACGGGATGAAGTGCTCGGTGGACCCACAGCAGCCCTCAGATATGTTGGGACATGAGGTGGCAAGGCCTCCAGATTTGCCTGTAACAGTTCAGGGGTAAAAATCTTCAGTACCCTAGTTACCATCAAGAAAGATACTCCCTCCATCCCATAATATAAGAGCGTTTTTTACACTAGTGTAGTGTCAAAAACGCTCTTATATTATTGGACGGAGGGTGTATATGTCAAGAAAGAAATTTGCATCACAATTTTCCTAGTTCCCATCAAACCCTTCTATTCTACTCACCTCTTGTAAAACATCCATGAAAGATCTTACCGCCCTTTTCTCCAAAGCTTTTCCTTGCCTTGTCTTGCGTTTCATGTTCTTTGACTGCTTCTTTTGCATCAAAACTACACAAGGCCAAGTAAGAAACAAAATAAAAAATCAGCACCTACATCGTATATTTTTTAATAATTTTCTTTTCGCATGCTTTGTCTCAAAAGCTAGCAGCATACACAACCTTTCAGTATGTTAAAAGTACTCCCTCAGTTTCAAAACAAATGAAGTTCTAGGTTTACTTTATCCTAAGTCAAACTTCATTAAGTTTGATCAAGTCTATATACAAATATATCAACATCGACAACACCAAATTTACTTAATTAGATTCGTTATGAAATATATTTTCATATAATATATATTTGATTAGATATTTGCAATTTTTGTCATAGACATGGCCAAACTTAAAAAAGTTTAATCCTAGAACTTCAATTATTTTAGAATGGAGGGAGTAATTCTACACCGAAATGTAAAATCAGCATGATGATTGTAATGCTTGACAGACAAGTTCAAACCATGATGCTCAATAGCGAGATAATCTGACAGCGCATGAAAGGGGTCAATAATTCACTCCACCCGTGCATAACTTGGGTTCTTGTTCTTATCAAATGCATTAGAGGCACATGACTTCAAAAAAAAAAAAAGGAATGCTGTTACAAAGATCGATTTAATGATCTACTTCATCGTTTTCTTTGCAAGAAACGGAAATAGAAAGTGTTGCCTCTTGCTTAAAATTTATGTACGTGAATGTGTTATCTCCGATATTAGAAGCAATACCAATACCAATACCTGAGGCACAGGCACAAAGCCATTTTGCTATTTACTAGGAATAGATTGCAAAGTTTGTTTATGTACACACTGCATTGCAACTTCCTTGAAACTTCAGAAAACCACAGAAAAGAATAATGCCCCCTGAAAATAATAGAGAAAGGAACCAACCATGGTCCTCCCCATCTGTAGATCCATACTCATCATCGTTGAGATCCACCACCTCAACCCCAGCATTATCACTCTCAAGCGCATCAAGACGAGCCAAAGCAGCCTACGTGACATTACAGATATGAAGACACATAATTTAGTGAAACTGACATAAGGAGTAGCATCTAAACTGATAAGACGCACAGTAATTTGCAGGAACTAGCAGTAACTAGTGATCATAAGTCAACGACAGAACGCCTAAGAAACAAGAAACAGGCGAATCAACAAAGATTGTTTTCTTTAAGAGTTCTCCTAGGGTTGAAGCCATTTGAAGTTGAAACCACCACATTGATCAGAAGCAGCGAGCTTCCCCTCGGTAGTAAGGTGAAGCCGAAATGAGAAGAGAAATGAACGAGCAGCGCTTGCTGATATGGAGGTTCCACGGGTGGAAGTGGAATCCAAGGAGGTAGGAATTGTTACCTGAGCGCGGTTGTCGGAGCTGGAGAGGGCGGAGGCCATGCGGGAGGCCATACGCCGCGTCCGCGAGCTCGTGCGGCGGAAGGGCCCCGGGTTCTCCTCCTCCCCGTCCATCTTGGGCACCCGGCGCGCGGCGACGGCGGACGGCGGTCGGCGGCGCGGGGGAGATGTGGGACTGGCTTGAGGGACCAATTTGGGCCCTGTTGTTCCGAGGGAGTTCGTGATCCAGCCCTCAGTCAGGCAGGCGATTCCCTATTTGCCACTCATTGCAGCAAAATGCCGGCGAAACATGGGCCAGCCCATTTATTAGCTAGCTAACCCAGCTACAAGGGTTTATATCGGTTTAGCGAATTTTTTCAGCAACAAAAAATATCGCTCTAGGGAATGGGTACCTTGGTTCCCGCCAGGTTATAAATCGCTTCCATTTATTTATTTGATCTTACTTGTATTCATGTGTGATTTCAACAATTATTTTATTTCCAGATCATGTTGTTATTTTTTAAAATTATTCAGATTTGAACATTTGTTGTAATTGAAAGGATTATTGTATTATATGATGTTAAAGCATTAATAAGTTTGATTTATGTTGCTGTTTTATTTACATTATATTATTTAAAATCATGATTTTGCTATCTAACTAAAACGGATTAGCGGTACCATGCGGGATCGGGCGGAACATATGCCGCAACCCCGTACCGTAAAAATTTGCAGTACAGGTTTGCGGCATTTGTTCCGCCTGAAGTCTCGTGATACCGCAAATCAGTTTTAGTGAGAGCCGCAAACTGGTTTTGTGGGATGGTAATATACAGCATCTACTAGAGTTGCTCTAAGCAATAGCTGCTATCCTTTGTTCCAGAATATATTTAACATAGCACTGTCAAGATCCATCGGATGAATTCCCCACTAGCTAACAACAGCCTCGCTGGAAGGTAGAGAAAAACCACGAAGTGGATAGCCTTTCAGAATTGGCGACCAGGCCACCGTGACTCGCAGCTTACACGAGCCAACATCAAGCATGTCATGGCTTCTACCGGCCTCCAATGGTGCAAAGGACGTCTCAGCCTCCACGACCTTCTCACCACCACGAGACAACACAGCACAAACCACGAGCTGCCCAGACCTTTCAACAGAGACAACACGGCGCGAGAGTTCCATCTTGCCGCCGTCGCGGACGACGGCCTCTTTCTCGCCTGAATCGAGCAGCAAGACTTTCATGTGGGGAACACTGGCAGTACATGCAGTCAACTGGCCGTGGAACCCTTCTGGCCATGACCCCTCGACCAGCTCGACTCTGATGGTGGCCTCGGCGCAAGCGACGATGATGCCATATGCCAGCTCCAGTGTGCTGAGCTTACTTCTGTAGCATCTGGTGCCCACAAGCGATTTGGATGCCGATTGACGGGTATTGCAGCGGCTGATCAGGAGGCTTAGATCTCTGTCCTCTGAACAGGTAGCGCCCTTAACTTTTAGAATGGCCTCAAAGTACACAGACGGATGCCCCTCATGCACAACAGCACGAGCAGGACCTGTAAGAACCAAATGCTGACCCTGCATGCAATGCAACACCACAACACCATCAAATTAAGTAAATAACAATGCTCCTATGGAACACATCTATTGAAGTAATAAGCGATTAGCCATGGATTATTAATCCGTTCATCAAGTGGAACTTAACTACAATGACTCAAACTGAAATGGGTGGAAGATGGCCAGAAGAAACTACAGGAAGACAATTTGAGAAGCGCAAATAAATTGGGTTGCGTCGACAAGAATATTTAAACTAGCCATTCAAACTAAAAGTAAACTGAAGCCGAAACTAGGTAGTAAACAGCACAATATTCAAAACATCACAAAATGGTTTATCGGTGTGAAGTGCATACCATGAATGATGTTAGGTGCTGGCACAGAATAATAGCCTAAGGCTTTAGGGTACGTTTGGTTTACAACCAACGGTGACCCTACCAGAAAATGGGTTGGCCCATAAGATTTGGTCATTGCTTGGATCGGTGCCAAATATTTGGCGTGCCCAGCCAGCCCAGGTAGCTCCCATGTAAATTTGCCAACTCGCAGGCGCTCCAGGGGCGCCGAAAATGCTCGCCAAAAAACTGGGAGTGTTGCCCTCGCATGCTTTTCATTGTGTTCGGTGATTATCCAACACAATTAGTGTGGCAGGTTAAATGGCAGGTAAAATCACGCATGTACGTTGTACTACCAGACCTCTGGATCGATTAATCCCGTGTAGAGGCCGGTAACCAATCCTGCTTAACCGAATAACAACCCAAAGTACCAAACACTAGCTAGTATTCCCCAAGTTATCCCAGTTTTAACAAAAGACCGTGGATCAAACTACTGTACTATGGCGACGACTTTGTCTTAGTTCAGTAAAGGATGTCAGCATTATTTCCACGGACATATGTGATGCGCAGTGTGTACTTTTACACGTCCGTTTTTCACTTGGCACATTGTAGTTAATTAAGTGTGTTCTTAACAGGTGTCCCTTCTTTTTAATTAAAACTTAATTGCAATCACACTAAACACTGATCAATCCTAGTTACCAAGTGTGCCAAGTTAGTTGGATGTAAACCAAATGGAAGCTTACTGATTTTGCCAAAAAAATGTCAGTATAATGGATCTAAACCAAACAAGATCAACTTACCAAAAAATTGGTCATGCCCTAGCAATGGTCATGCAAAAAAATTGGTGCAGCTAATTGGGGCACAAACCAAACACACCCTTAGAAACACAGAAAAATGATAGTTGTTGTGGTTCAGATGTGCAAAACGCATATCTTTTATATTTACTCAATGCAAACATTTGAGCTGGTTGTGATGGTGAGCCTGGCAATCGACCTCCCCACGATCGAACATATGTTTCTGGTTGGTGGTGCCATCTCCCCACGATTTTCGTCATTTACTTTAAGGTTTGCAAATTATGTCATATGATGAGTTTACTGTTTCCTATTTCCTATATGGCGCAAGATGCTTTGCCTTGTCTAACTAAAATATAGTATTCATGGCCATTAAATTTGTATAGAGACGTATGTGTGACATGATTAGGCATCTTTCTATATTCCTGTATAACATGCAGGCATTCAGATATGAAAACACTACTGGCAAGTCATACTTACAATTCATAATACACTGTCAAGGTAAATTGCCAAATTTCAGACAGTAACGCCAGAAACTATCAAACAGAAATGAGAACAACGTTAGTCTCAAACAGATTGAGGGACATAAATGTCTGCTAATGCACTGTGCCATGTAGAAGGCCTATGATTCTTAAGGTCAGGGTCAGGTAAAAAGTACAAAGACTTTTCCATATGGCTCACTGGATCCCTCTATAACTGAACTACATGCATCTGTCCCCAAGTCTGGATGTGCTTACACTTGATCCACTTCCGGATGGGTCTCACCGGCCTTAGAATGAGACCCGGTCTCATAGATTTTTTTACCAAGTTGGCATCCAAAGCATAAATTCAAACTCTTTCACCAACGAATGGAAGACGCAAATACAGTTCATGGAAGAACCAACTTAAGTCAACATACAAAAACAAGGTTGAATGTCATACATGCTTATATGTGATGTGATGTACATGAACATGCTGGTTGATCGTATGTAGCCTCTTAAAATTTATACATTAGCAATGTTCAATGGATTTTCCTAAACCAAATATCTGCGTGTTGTACTTTCCCATGTTGAACTTTTCTTATTCACATGTTTATGTTCTTTGGCAAGCTTTTAGTCTGCTACAAGGTGGTTACTTATATGTGTTCTGTGGTCTGCATTGTGATATTATTAATACTCACTCCGATATGTGTTCTGCGGTTAACTTTGTACTAAAGCAGCGACAAGCAAATAGTAATATGGATCAGAGGGAGCATCAAAGATTGCATTAGACATGACAGGAAGGACCAAATATATAACCTGTTGGGTGAGGGTTTGGCAGTTGTCCCTTGAGCGGTTAAAGATAATATTGCGATTATGATCCAGGTCGTCGCGCATGGCGATCATGCCAAATACATCGAGGGGCCACTGTAAACCGCCAGTTATTTCCGTGACCTTGACTGAGAAGATCTGCATGGTGGTCTGGTGGACAGTGAAACGAGGCATAGGATTGTCCGTGAAACACATGGCGGGGATCGACGCTGCATGTACAGGAGATTCAGATTCAGTAAAAGAACCAAAATTGGCAGGAACTAATCGACATAATCCAATCTACAATTGTTGTCAGGTTCTAATAATCCAACAATACAATTGTCAATTATACATCTATATATCTACAGAACGTTGAAACTTGAAACCCAGCTTATGAACTTTGTAGGAACATCAATCAATCAATCAAAATAGACAAAACAAAGAAGAAACGAAAGGGAAGTGCTCACTGGTGTCCTCGAAAGAGCCGTACTGTTTGGACCACTTCATGTCCCAGATCTGCCGGTACTTGTTGTAATCCTGTTCAGACTCGTCTTCTTGGTTCGGACCCGGCGGCGCCCGGGGCCTCTCCTCTTTTTCCCTTAGTCTCTCCGCGTGCATCTGCAGGGAGCGCTCGCGCGACAATATCTTCTCCCTCGCCATCTCTTCCTGCAGCAGCGCCGCCCGCTCCTGCTCCGTGAGCGCCTCCGGCACGATCGGCGCCACGCCGGGGTTCTCCTCGTTCCGCCTCGCCACCGCTCGCTTCAGCCTTCCCTCTTCGACCATCTTCGCTGAATCAATCGTCAATTGCATAAAAAACGACACCGCATTCGACGCCTTCTTTTTCCCCGCCCGCTTTCTCCCCGATTTCGCCGTCTCCATCAGACGCTCTCTCTTTCTTCCAGCCTCCATCGTCTCCGTCTCCATCTCACCAGCTCTCGCCAAGTTCGATTGTTCCCGTCGAACCCTACTTTCCCCAGGGTGAGGAAGAGGAAAGAAAACCTAGATTCAGGCGCCAGCCAGTTGGGTTCCGTCCGTTAGTTGAACAAGTTCAGGTGGGCCAAAGTCACACGTATAACGAATTATGTGACATGATTACATTTTTCCGAAAAAACGTGACTCGGCATCTCGGCCCAGCCCGTTATGTTGACACCGGAAACAAACGAGAGCAACTAGTTAACAGGCGGTTCGAGAGCGCTCCG